CCTGTGACAATTAGCTAATAGCTCATGACGATGCTGTGGGAAAAGCATCCAAAATCCCGTGCCATCCACACAGCGCGCCTTTGCGAGTAATTGGTGTCAAACGCGTCGCATACGCGTCGCCAGAACATGCTGCTCCCTCACCTCTCGCTCTCGTCTTCGCGCTCTCCCTTGCCCTCGAGCGTCCGCCGCTGACCACAACGTCACACGAGTAGCGACTCGCTACTATGGGGCCCCTATCGTCCGAATGTATACCTGGGGCTGCGCCCGCGGGTGCCCAAGAGCGTCCTTGCGGGGTTGATGTGGGGGAAGCTGGAGGATGTTGAGAAGAGTAGGTGCATGGTCTTCATGTTGCCAAAACCAGGTTGCTAACATTTCGTTGCAGCGCTGCGGCATAATGTCAACCAGAGCGAAGGTATGGCACGCTACGGCTGGACTGCGTACGATACACGAGAGGGCGGCAGACAGATCATAGAAGATGTGGGCAATAAGATCAATCTGACCACTGAGTTCGTGAAATATTCCGAAGGCCAAAGCGCGGGCAATTGGGGGTTGCGGATTAGAGGTATACCACGGTCTGGTGCGGGGCCTGATCAGAAGACGACTGTCGTCTTCTATGTTGGTATGGAGGCCATGGGGGCTTGCGCAACTTGCAAGCTCGAGGCGCATCCGCGACTCGGAGACGGTGGCGATACCGCTGTTCACGCTGTAGATATTGAGCTCGCACATCCGGTGCTGGGTAGCGCTGGCATACATATTGGCGTACCCCTCAACAACGAAGGAGCCCCTGAGGCGGCGTTTATCAAGACCTTGAATGTGACAGAGGATAGACTATGGCAGGCCAAATGTGGGTATAGCATATTCGACATCTCAGCTCATCACCATGGCGAACTGTTGGCTAATGAAGTTATGTGCAAGAAGCTACGTTTTTGGCTGCGCTGAAAGACCAGACCGAGCAACGCACCCAGTCAGGGCCAACCGATCTCGTTCTGAACACCTTCCCAGGCACGGGTAATATACAACTTGTGCAGTTTGTGTGTCATGGAGGATTCGAGGTTAGATGCTGTGACTAACGTATGGGGGGAGGACTGACACCGAGCAGTTTGATATCTTGTACTCCAGCGGAACAGCTACACGAGCAATGACCTGTGAGTATGTCCCTTCTGGCCTCGACTCGCGGCTATGTTGCCCAAACCGAATTAAAACGCATTGACTGACTCATCTTAGCTGCCAGTCTTACAACAGACCTTGAAAGTACTATCAGCTCATTCCAGAAAAGCTTTGTGTCCATCTTCAAGCCAAAAGCCCCGTTCATCACCGATCGCCACCTCGCTTTCGCAGAGAATGTTTTCTCTGACCTGTTAGGCGGGCTCGGGTACTTTTCCGGTACTACAAAGGTGGATACAGCCAAGAAAGCCATCTATGCAGAGACCACTGGCAACTTCTGGCTTAAGACGGAAGACGCGAAGAAGCATACAACACCAGAGACGAAGGGCCCATACGAACTTCTTACACATACACCATCCCGTTCGATGTTTCCGCGAGGCTTCCTATGGGATGAAGGATTTCATCTTCTTCCTATTATCGAATGGGACGCCGATCTTGCGCTGGAGGTCATCCGTGACTGGCTCCTTTTGATGGACAATGATGGATGGATCGCACGAGAGCAAATCTTGGGAGCGGAAGCAGAACGTGCGACACCTGGACCGTCCGTCACACAATTTCCGCATATTGCCAATCCGCCTACCATGTTTCTGGTCATCTCGAAATTCATCGACATGTTGAGGGGAACGACCAAGTACTACGGACGCGAATCGGTGTATCTCAGCCAAAGTGAGACTGGCAAGGTATTCGTGGCCAAGCTGTACCCGCTACTCAAGAGACACTACGAGTGGTTCCGCAAGTCGCAGTCTGGGGACGTGGAAGCTCATTCCATTCCAACTGCCAATCTGAACGAGGGCTACCGCTGGCGAGGCCGAACGCCGGGAATGAACCTTGCCAGTGGTTTAGACGATTACCCCCGAGCCGAGCCCCCTGACATCACCGAGTTGCATCTAGATGCCTTGTGCTGGGTCGGAGTAATGGCACGAACACTAGAACAAATAGCCTTCTTTACAGAAAGCACCCACGATGCATTCACCTACCAGAACCACGTCCGCGGCATCAGAAACAACCTCGAACTCATCCACTGGGAGGATGCCCAAAACGCCTATTGCGACGCCGTCGTCCGCAAAACCGTCCACACACACGCCTGCCACAAAGGCTACGTCTCCCTCTTTCCACTACTGACCGGCTTCCTCGACGCCTCGCACCCACATCTGCGATTCGTCCTCGACCTCATTCGCAACCCAAGCCACCTCTGGACCGACCACGGCGTGCGCAGCCTCAGTGAGGGAGACAAACACTACGGGGTAGGCGACAACTATTGGCGATCCCCTATCTGGATAAACTTCAACTACCTTATCCTCGAGCGCCTGCTCTCCCTCGCCCAAACACCAGGACCATTCCAACGGCGCTGTCAGGAAATATACATCCAACTCCGCCGCAACATTGTCGAGACGGTTTATACGTCCTACCTTGACACGGGCTTTGTCTGGGAGCAGTATGATCCTGTTGGCGGCCACGGGCAACGCGGTCAGCAGTTTACAGGGTGGACGGCGCTGGTGGTGAAGATCATGAGTATGCCGGATTTGGAGGCTGATGAGGGTGTTAGGGAGATGGTGAAGGGGTATTATGAGGAGGCGAAGAAGAAGGCGGTGGGGAATAAGGGGGTTGGGGCTGGTGCGGGGAGTTTGGTCGTGGTGGTGGGCATCGTGGGGTTTGTGTATGTTAATAGGAGGAGGTTTGCGGGGATGTTGAGGAGGCTGAGGAGGTACAATAATTGAGGGATGCGGAAGGGTTGATGTCGATCATTTTATGTATCATAATTTTGAACATATAACTTTGCATTGTTTCTTATTCACAGTAGGCTTTGTGGTGCAGGTGGTTCGCTATATTGAGGGGCGTTTTGGAGTAGCATCACCATTAGGGAATTGGGATCCTACCTAGATAGTCTTAGGCGGTCATAGATTTCGCCACTCTTTTCTTTTATTGATAATTTGTTTCCTAAGGGGGTGCAGTAATGAAAACAGAAAGGCGTGGGCGAAAGATGCAAAGCTAGTCTCTGTCCGAACCATGGTAGAGTCAGCACGTGACCAGCTGGTGCATTACGATCTTCCCACAAATCCCCAAAATTCCCGAGCCACTCCATTTCACATATCCCAACATGTTGGACCAACGACAGTCGCCATTCTTCCGCCTCCCCCGAGAGTTACGCGACAACATCTACGAATACTACGCGCACGACGCTGGTGGCGTCTTTTACGACTATGCCTCCGACAAGCTGCAATACGCGAGTCAGGGAAAACACCAGGACAAAAACGCGCTGACAAACAGCTGCAAGCTTGCAGCTGAAGAGATGCAGTTTATTGCCATGAGGGTGAACACGATTACCTTTGTCCCTGCGCGTTCCGAAGCAGATGGTATCAAGTATAACGACCTTGACTCCAAAGCCGGCCGCTTCGAACGGCTCCTGCAGAGTGCGCGGCGCATGAAAATACATATTCTACATCACGTCGCCAAAGGCGGATGTGTTACACCTGCCATGGTGGATGAGGTAGCAGCAAAATTCCCTGGTATTGCCCGCTACTACCGTAAGCATACGATGCCGTCAAAGACGGAGAACAACTGAACGGTAGAGATGGCATTAGTGATTCGGATTACCGGTGGCGATGGCAGATATCGGCATCGTTCTGTGATGCTCTGCATCACACATTGGAGCTCGCAGCCTCACACCCAAGGTTCAACGAGCTGGCAGCTGAAGCAACTGTAACCCCTTATCGGTTTCGGGGTATGATGCCACCATTCATAACTGGCTCTCAAGAGGCTGTTCTCGCATGGAACCCTGAACGGGGCCGGATACCGGTTGAGTTCGATGTTGCCCTAGAATCTTATCTGACCGATCCCTTGCTCCGAGATTCAGAAGGCTGCGTCGACTGGCCGGAACCCGTAGTCCCTGTTTGCTGGTATTTTTCTGCCACAGCTATCGCCGTCAACTTTCTCCGGCGATTACCACCGACCACACGCATATGCATACGGCTACCTATAGTCATCAGAGAAGAAAGATGGGGCATAGACTATTGCGAGTCTCACGTGCGAGCTATTGCACCATATTTCCACGAAAATCCAAGTCTCATAGTTGAGTTACATGTAGGATTCTGGACGAATTTGGACCCTCCTTTTTGGCTACAATCTCTGGATCATGAAGCCACCAACCGCTCAGTCTGGGGACAAAAGCTGCTTCGCCCTATGGCGGATTTCTTGGATGAGCTCAGCTCAATTTCAAACAGCTCGAATCCGATCAGAGGCCTCAGTGTTCATATTGAGGGCCGTATGAAAGAGTCAGTGTGAGCTTGGGGGATGATCAAGCAAGCAGCCAGTATGCAAGATGCCATGCTTCATTCAGACTACATCCAACAGCATCAGGATGTGGACCTTAGCGAAATTGTGGATCGAGGCTTCTCTAATTTAGACACAACCTTAAGATCCACGGCTCTCAACAACCGGTTCCAACTATCATGTGATTTGCCAGACTCGTTTGTTCCGATGGTCCGGCAGATCACCGAGGGTTCCAGCTTCATTCATTTTGATGGAGACGCTGGTGAGCTTTGGGACACCGCGAGCACCAGAGCTGCTAGCGAGGACTGGAGTCCACAAGAGTTTTGCGACCAGTGGGAGTGGACAGTGAGCGATCACCTTCCATTACCATGGGGCGGGACTCCAGCGTACATGAAGATGTACGAGCTGCAAGCGCTTCGTTCGGCCTCTCGCCCTTGCATTTGGGAATCCTTAGACGGGACGCAGTCTTTGACCTACCATCCAGAAACTTTGGCGTCAGACGATATCTTTATTCGAAACCGAGATGGGCTTAGAAGATGATGAGTATCTTGAACGTACGGCATATTGAAACCATTGAAACTGTGTACTAGAGTAGTACCATCCGTGTTGATCTGTTGGACGCTCGTGGGTACAACAGAGCCTCCGATTTGCAAGTTTATAAGTTATTAGCAAATGCGACAGCGCAAGGCCTATGATGTCCTGCAAACATTCTTTAGGCTGAGTAACTACAAATTGAACACAAGTCTACGACATCTCATAAGTTCTTGTGAACTTTCCGCTACGTCTGCGCTATGCCGTCTCATCGAACGAGTGCAGGCACATGATAGTTAGTGGCAACTGGGAGAGCCCAGACCACCCTCATCATCGTCTACGATACATTGTAGCTCGACGGATACGCATTCGGGCTAGCACGCCAGATCATGTATGATCTGGAACCTTCTGGCAATATCGGGCCGATGGGTTTGGGCATGCTTCCAATTTCCCGAGCGATCCACCTTGCTCATGGTGAAGTGTGCTGTGATAGCCGTTCGGAATCCTTCTTTCCGGGTCAGGAATATCAGCATGGCATTCATGAAGATGCGCGCAAACGACAGCAAGCGGGGCGAAAAGATTGACGCAATGTTTTGATGCGATGTTCATAATACGAAGCTGAGTGGCGTTGTCGACGTAAGCAGTGGCCGGTGGGCGTCGGAGTAAGCAGCACCCTTGGCGTTGAGGTGTGACGGATCGCGCCTGCCGTTAGGACTGCGGAAACAAAGCAAGCGCTTTTAGTTCATAGATGGCAATGTCAGTGAATCTAGATGACTGTAGGATGTTTGAATCTGCTTCTCTCGTACAATATGCCACACATGGAGTTGAATCGATCAGACGCGGAAGCCAACGGTAGTCAATGTCAACGAACACCTTCAGGATCGACCAAAATCAATAGTTCAGTGTAGAAGCCAATGTTTTGATCACCAACTGGCTCGAAAATCAATACATTGAGCTGATCTCCCGACACCGTTCGTTGATCATCTTGCTTACGGTAAAAGGTCCGTCCGACGGGAAACATAGGATCCGAGCTCCCAAAGAAGACCCTACCCAATCCGAGGTTATCCAGAAAGACCCTAGAATTTCTGGAGCTAACGTGCATGCTACACATACGATGCCGGAACTGAGTGCCGCCCAAGAGGCGAACGCGCTGGCCAATTTACCCACCCTGCAAGCATGCGACGGGTCACTTTGCTGCACTGATGGCACCATGCCCTACACCGCCCTTCATAAAGTGTTGTATTGACGAGATAGATCGAAACACCGCGAATTGTAGTCTTCCAAGCTTCAGATGTGATGGCGTGAGAAGTCGCGCTGTTTTCAGTGGGGCCTGTGAATGACGACACTGGTGGAACACGTTCTGCGTTAGCAGCAACTAGCAACTTCTTTGTCATCAGCGTGCTCTTGCACTTATTCAGCTTCTTCCCCTAAACCACGCAAAAAGCTACCAAGCAGCTTTCGATTTTGACAGGCATCGTATGCGAATCCGCCTGTGCAATGAACTGTCCGTCGCGCGTGGATCCGGAGTTTCCGGAGGCCTACAACCAGAACCCTAATGCATTGAATGCGGACGGACGACGAGAGCCGATCTCGGATTCGTGGCGAATGAAAGAGCGAGAGATGGCCGTGCGATAGATTGTTTGGATAAGGATAATGATATTGCTCCTAATCCATCGCAAGTTGATGAGGGCAGCCGTGCGAGTGCATCGAAAGCAGGCTATGGTCTGCGCATGAGGAGCGATGCCGCGAACAACACGGGCTTGCGCTTTTCAGAAGACATCACAAGGCCTTCTGGTACAACGAACAATATTCCATTGGCCCACCGAAAAGGAGTCTTTGGTGGTACGGTCGAGGTCGTACGCAAGTACCTGACATTCGTCGGCCCTGGGTTCATGGTTGCTGTTGCTTATATTGATCCCGGTAAGCATTTTTGCTGAGCATTCCTTTGGGGGATGGGTGGAGTACTAATTGTCTACAGGAAACTACGCTACCGACATCGCCGCTGGTGCTTCATTCGAATACAAACTACTCTTCGTTGTACTTATGTCAAATATTTTCGCTATATTTCTCCAATCTCTTTGCATCAAGTTAGGTTCGGTTACTGGAATGAACCTCGCGGAGAATTGTAGGGCGCATCTTCCACTGTGGCTAAATTACGTGCTTTACTTCTTTGCCGAGTCAGCCATCATTGCGACAGACATTGCTGAGGTAAGCTACACGCACCGATGAGCTATGGAGCTCGACTAACAGATACAGGTCATTGGTACAGCGATTGCTCTCAACATTCTTCTTCATATACCCCTAGTCGCGGGATGTGCTATATCCATTCTAGACGTCCTTATTATACTCCTCTTTTATTCGCCTTCTGGTACCATGGCTGCCATACGAGGCTTCGAAATTTTTGTCGCTCTGCTGGTCTTGGGCGTTGTTGTGTGTTTCTGTTTCGAGCTCAGCAAGGTCCACGCATCCGCGGGAGAGGTCCTACACGGCTATGTGCCTTCTTCGACGCTGATCAAATCTCAAGCGTAAGATTGGCCCATCCTCTGCATACACCATGATTACTTATACTGCCCAGACTTTACCAGGCCTGTGGCATTCTGGGCGCCACGGTCATGCCTCACAGCCTCTACTTGGGGAGTGGTATCGTGCAACCGCGGCTACGTGAGTACGACGATAATCATAATTCTACTTCTTTCTATGACGAAGACACCGGATCTCTAATCGACGAGCTCAAGTACAAGCCTTCACTAGCTGCTATCAAGCACTGCATGTCTTATAGTATCATCGAGCTCACCATTTCGCTCTTCACATTCGCGCTTTTCGTTAATTCGGCTATTGTCATCGTTGCAGGCGCATCGCTTTATGGTCAATCTGAAGCGGCAGATGCAGATCTATTCTCTATTCACAGCCTACTTTCACGCTCTGTCGCCCCTGCTGCCGGCACCTTGTTCGCCTTGGCGCTACTTTTATCCGGACTATCCGCCGGCATTGTCTGCACCATTGCCGGACAAATGGTCTCAGAGGGGCAGTTGAACTGGACCATCAAGCCCTGGATTCGTCGCCTCATTACTCGTTCGATTAGTATCACACCGTCTATCATAATCGCCGGCGCTGTCGGCAGAGAGGGACTGAGCCAGGCCCTCAATGGCAGCCAAGTGGCGCTCAGTGTTATCTTACCTTTCGTTAGCGCACCATTGATCTGGTTCACCTGCCGCTCCCGGTACATGAAGGTTGCGGTGCGGCACGACAATGATTCACCGCTACGAACAGCGGGATCCGCGGGAGTTGCGGATCATGATGTGAATGAGCACGTGCAAATGAGGAACCATTGGCTCACGGCGGCATTTGCGGTACTTATCTGGGGCGTAATAGTCGTTATGAATGTCGCAGCGCTGGTATTTGCCGGTATGGGTATCGCTTGATCCCGTGCTAGCATGTACATTACCGACCTGGACTTAGCTAGTGTTTCGTTGAGGGTGGGCTTAACGATTAGTGAAAGTAAATATGGAATACACAACATGATTGACATATGTAGCTCCCCTCCCATGATGCGTAGAGTGTATTACGAGTTGCACAGTGCCGAATATTTGGGTCGCGGGCTTGACTCGGGGCCACGAGGGGATTTGATTAATATCCAAGGAAATGCAAGTCGGCGTCGGGCACGGCTTTCTGTCGGGGGGTGTGAGGGACCTGAGTCAAGAAATCCTCTGTAACTTTCCTTGAGTATATTAAAGCTTGGTAAGGAGCGGGATCGAGGGACATGGGGATATAACATAGTGGTGGATCATAAGGTTCGTATATTGCGGGCGCTAAAGCGGGCGGATCATAGGGAGTGGGTTGATAGCTGTTGCACTTGCAAAGATCGACAAATCCTGGTCACCGCGTGGCAAAAGATAGACTCCAACCTTTAACCACCACGACATCAGTCATAAAACATTCAACAACACTTGGTAAGGAGACATGGTGTGGAACTCATGTAAAAGAAAGTAACGGTATTCATTTTACCATGATCTAAAAAATACATGCAAAGAAGGAAATAACGCCCCCGTTTTGGGTTATGACTCAATCTAGCGTGCGCCACCGTACTTATTTACAACTCTCCACATGAGTCGAAAAGACTTTAGCGACTAGACCTAGCTGCCGCAAGAATGACATCGGATGCCTTCTCGGAGATCATGTAAATGGAAGCCACAATGAAAGTACCAGGGATCTTGGCGAAGGCGGAAGCATCCACGACACGGAGACCCTCAACACCGCGTACCTTGAAGTTGCTGTCGAGAACAGCCATCGGGTCATTGTCGGCGCCTATAGGGCAAGAGCAAGAAGCGTGGTGGCCCCAAGCCTGATACTTGGCGAATTCCTTCAACTGCTCGTCGGTCTTGACATGTGTGCCGGGCCAGATTTCCTTGAATTTGCCGTCAATAGGAATGAGATCGTTGAAGATCTTGCGACTGTGCTTCATTCCTTCAAGCAAGGCCTGGAGATCATCGTCACCGCCAACCTTGAAGTTGTTCTTCTGGATCTCGGGGACGTCCTGGGGGTTGGAGCTGCGCAGAGTAACGGTGCCAGCGTTGTTGCGAGATTCAGCCTTGAGAGTGAGCCATGTCCAGTGGTTTCCGCCCTTCGTAGCATTCTTGAAGAAATGGGGGTAGTAGCCATTGAAAGCAGCGGGCCAACCTGCAATAAGGAGATCAGCGTTGCCATTGATGGTGTTGGAAGCCCTCTTAGTGTAAGCAATTGCGACACCGTTGGTAGCGTAGGCACCCTTGCCAATACCGAGAGGAAGCTTCTCCCACTTTTCAAGGCACTTGTCTTCGCCTTCAAGGAAAGTGCAACCGTTGAGTAGGGCAAGCTTGGAAGGGGCTTCGCCCATGACTGGAACCTCGTAGCGGTCCTGAAGGTTCTTGCCGACACCGGGGAGATCCTTGATAACCTTGATGTTGTGGCGCGTGAGCTCGTCCTTGGGGCCAATGCCGGAGAGCATCAAGAGTTGAGGGGTGTTGAAGGTACCAGCAGACAGAATAACCTCGCGAGTAGCCTTGACGGATCCCTTGGTACCCTTGTGGGTTTGGGGGTCGTGCCTTGGGTCTGCTGCGTAGAGCGATTTTCCGGTCAAGAAGTCGACACCAGTGGCCTTGGGCTTGCCGTTTACCTGGGCGAAGTTGACCTTGGTGACCAAAGTGTTGAGCTGAATGTCGAGATGGTACTTGCGGCTTCCATCCCTGTTCTTCGCATTTACGACATCACGCATGAAGTCAACGGGGCCAGCGCGTTCGTATTCCGGGACCTTCATGGCGAGAGGAATTTGCCACAGACCTTCTTGCTGATCGCGAGACTTGCCCGGGCGGTTAAAGTCGCGAGTAAGAACCGAAGCGAGGCCAGTGGCTGTACTCAAAAGTGATGAGATGAGACCTTTGCCCATAGCACTGGCAGCAGCTAGGACGAGTGAGATAACCTTGGCGTCTTGCGCAATCAAGGTCAAGTCAGTGACCGAGGTCGTGAGCCAGCCATCGTATCCATGGCCAACAATGCTGCTAGGCAGATAGCGCGACTTCTCCAAACGTGTGAAGTACTTCCGCATCTGGCTTGGTGCCCAAGAGTCATCGCCTGTGATACGCTGAATGTGCTCCCAATCACTCTCGTACGGGTAGAGGGTGATAAGGGCATTGTGAGAAGTACAACCACCCCAACTACCAACACGTGGGTAGAGGATGCCGAGGGGCGTGGCACCGGAAGGGGGATTGGCGCCAGTGTACATAGAACCATCAGGTAGCTTGTAGGTGAGCTTGGTGTCCATCCTCATCTCTGCTTCCTCATCGAAATGCTTGACATAGTAGTTCCATGCCATTTCCTTGTATTCGGCAGCAACAGCGTGCAAGACGGGTACTCTGTACTGTAAGCTGTTGGTCTCATCACCGCCAGCTTCGAGGAGAAGGACCTTGTAGCCACCGAGAGCAAGCCTGGCTGCGAGAGGTCCACCACCAGCTCCAGAGCCGACAATGACATAGTCGTAGGGCTCTAGAGTGGTGGTATTGGTAGCGCTCTGGGCGCGCTTTACATTTGCACCGCTATAAGGTGTGTGGTGCGCACCGTCACTGCAATCTCGTCAGTGCTCCATCGCGAAAGTGTGCCCGCAGTAGGGCCTCATATGGAGACATGTTACTCACATAATACGGGCGGTACTGAAAGAGCTAAGTAAGGAGAGGACGGTCAATGCCTTGAGAACAATCATGGTAGCGAAATGGGATGAATTAGAGGCCTAGGAATGAAGATAAAAAACGAGAGATATTAGGCTACGCTTCGGCGAGAGAGCGTGTACGGAAGGAAGAAAGGAAGTGCTCCCATTCGAGACTTATACTGGGGTGCGACTTCAAACTCGAGTAGCCATCGCGGACGTGCCGGCGGCTGCTGTTGTCCACATGCTGATTGAGATCATCGCTCGCTTACCCTTTTGGTTTTGACTCTGAATACGACAGCCCTTACTCGAACATCTTTACCCGTCTTACACACCTCCGGCACGGAAGTATGCAATGTGCTCTAGTGGGCCCTAAATGTTCTAGTGTATGATGAATGCCCTAGTAGATCCCACCACGCGGTCAGTGAGTGGCATCGGGCACTTTTCATATGGCTACCGGGGCGCAGTCTGTGCACACCCAGCGACATACCGGGATACCCTCCATATCGGGTCGTATCCCTGTTAGCACTAACGTCAATCAGCAAAGTCAGCCAAAATTTCTCTTTGTACAGAGATTGGGTGTTGATCTTACTAAACCGCTTTCTGCTTGACGAAGGGGCTAACTAGACCGCGCCTCCAACGTGCATCGCGAAGTCAGTTGTTATCTCCGCTCTTACCTCACCCTACCTACTTAGGTATGCAATCAAAAACTTTGAAATGATGGATATCAGCACATGCGAGAAGGGATGTTTTTCTAGAATTCCCGTACACGAGACTTGAAAACCAGACAGCCTCCACCTGCTGGAAGTCGGGCCGAGGGCAGTTGGCGTAACTTTACCTGCACATATACCCCGGCTCCTTGACAGGGTGGCATGGACGATTCTTCCCCATTGTCATCATTATTCTCGTTGCGACCTTCTTTGAGCAGCCCTTGCAGCTCACCCCTCGTTGGGTTCCGTAATCCGAGCTTGTCAACGCTCTCTCCACCGATCCATAATTTAGTATGATTGACTCTTGGCCCCGATAAACATGGGTACTTCTTGTGGTGCCCTCACGAGTCTGTCGGAGTGCCGTGCAGTTATGGTGATCAAGCCTTACATATTCCATTGCCTCCGAGGATTCGACGTCCAATGCGCCCTTAGGCTGTTCACAATTTGTCTTGCCCAAGTCACTCGTTACTGCCTTCTTTGCTCGACACCTATACATCATATTTCATCATGCGGTTGCAACTTCTGATAGCGTTTCTTACAACCTTTGTGGTTGCCGTTCGGGCTCAGGGCGGACTCCTGGCCTTGGCCGAACACATGCCAAAGTGCTCGGTATGCCATCCTTTCCAAGGTTTCACATCCGAAACTAGATCTAACTTCTCCGTATAGCTAGCATGTTTCATGCAAGAGCTTCCCAAGTCAACCTGCGCTGCAAACCTCACTTCGGAGTGCTTGTGTAGTAATGACGCTCTGAATGCTGCTGTAGCAGTCTGTGCCAAGAAAACATGCTCGGTATATGAGCTTCTACGTAAGGGCATATTTCCGCCAAACACCCGCATACCTAGAGACTTACGGCTGTGATAGAGACAAAGAATGTCAGCAACAAGGGTTGCGGAGTCCCGGATCGGTACAAGGGTGACAAATTCATCGCCATTGGTGTCTCGGGGTGTGCTCTAGCAGTAACGGCCTTCGTGCTGAGAATGCTGGCCAGCTTGGGCAAAAAAGGCCGCCAGGTATCATGGGATGACCTTACGATGGGCATTGTCGTCTTGCTCAACATACCTCCCACTGTGTTTACCTATTACCGTAAGCATGTTCGTGTTCCGCGCTTGCTACACAACCTTACTAATACACTGCAGTGGTGAAGAACGGCCTCGGACGAGATATCTGGACATTGACCGACGTCCAAATCACCAACGTCTTGAAGTTCTACTTCATGGGAGAGATCTTCTACGTAGTCGCCCTCGGAATCTCCAAGATCTCCATCCTCTTCTTCTACCTCCGCGTCTTCCCAGCCAAGAGTTTTAAGATCCTCACGTACAGCGTTATGGGTGTATCGGCAGCCTATACGATCGCATTCTTCTTTGCAACTACCATGCAATGTTGGCCTATCCGCCACGCCTGGACACAGTGGGATGGACTCCACGAAGGCAGATGCAATAATATTCATCTCCAGGGTTGGATTGCTGCCGCTGTCAACATTGCGCTTGATGTTGTCGTCATGATACTTCCCATGAAACATCTCGCAGCGCTGAACATGAGTTTGAAGAAGAAGCTGATGGTCATGTCCATGTTTTCAGTCGGTATCTTTGTCGTCTTCGTCTCGGCCATCCGTTTATACTCCCTCATCCATTTCGCCTCCACGGAGAACATCACCTGGAACTACGTCGACGCCGGTATCTGGAGTTTGATCGAAATCAATGTCTCAATCATTTGCGGATGCATGCCTGCCCACCGACTGCTAATCGTCAAATTATGGCCAAAGATGAGGGCGAACCTCGCCTCGAGCATGAACCTGTCAACCAAGAAGTCTACCAACCTCAGCACCACCGATTCCCAGTTACCGGTTGAGAAGGTGGTAACGCGGATTTCGTGCAAGCCCAAGAAGAAAGACGAGGACAATTTCATCCCGCTCGTTGACATGGACAACAGCGATCGAACCAGGTTGACGAAGGCAGATCACAATTCACGAGAGTCCGCTGGATGGATCACGCAGACTCACACTGTGGAAATCAGCATGCGCGATGCCTCGAGGATGAAGAGTAGAGAAGCACCACCGCCCGATTGGACGGAGAAGCCTACGACAGGAAAGGAACACGTTTGATGTTATCTCGAATTGCTCGGCGTTTGGAATGAACCGACCGAACCGAGCATGTGCCACGAGCGGCTTTATTTACGTCTTTGAAGCGATACAGCGTGTGGTCAATGTTCCCTCCCCAGGTCTTTCGGAAATTTTTCTTAGGTTTTCAAGAGAGGTTTTTTTGGAAACGACTTCTTCAACATGTATATATGATATTCTTCTTTTCAACCCCCACATACTCATTCGCCTGACTTTAGGGCATCGACAAAGTCTTCTCCTTGATTCTTGCTTGGCGCAAAACTCGCTTGTGGGAGACGGCAGCCGTGCAGCGAAACAAGCGGCAGTAAGCTTCCACGCCAAGTCATTGTTGACAATTCAGGCCCTGGCTGTGGGGTAGGGAAGTAGGGAACGCTGACCCGGTCAGGGGGCGGGACTGTCAGTCTCGGCAAGGATTGTCCTTGCTACCTAGGTAGGGATAGCTCTGGTGTCACTTACCACCTCTGCACGTCCCACCGAAGATAGGAATTTTTTGACTGCTTATTTTCCTCGATCTCCTGATATTTGAAGGCCCTACGAGAGGGGCTTAGATGGACTGAGGTTTTACGAATCCACGTAAGATCTTCAAAACGGCCCTTCGGTTCAGCACAGAGATAGGTACTAAGGCAATGTACCTGCATGCAGAATTAAGCGAATGACATGTCTAGAAGCCGAAGCGAGCTTCAGACGCGGGAACAGTCTCACTGCGCAGATGCAGTAGTGTCATGCATTCTGCAGATGGACAGTATGTACATAGGCCAATGGGCATCAGGCCCAGGAACGAGGCTGGACCGCGCGGATGGAGCAAGCTAAGCCGACACTGCATGCGAAATACGAATCCCCCTCAGTTCTACCACCTTCATCGTGACGCGGATGGCTGCCAAGGCTGAAGAAGAGCTCCGCTTCATCTTGGTAATACGGATTTAATTGGCTAGCTCAATCGAGCCGACCATTCGGACCTTTGATTCGGACCTTTGAACTCCCTGCTCCAGGCGATCCTGCCCATTTTTTCCATTGCCA